GCCATGGTGGCAAAAAAGAAAAAGGTATCACAAGCTGTTTTTATTGCATTAGTAGAGGAAGAATGGCAGAATATCTCTGATGAAGTAGTTCTTACGTGTATTACCAGTATGCCTGATCGCATTCAAGCCTGTATTGATGCTGAAGGAGGGCATACTAAATACTGAAATTTTACTGGTATATACTCTACCTAAATGCGCTATAAACATAAAAATTTGTAAAGATATTATTATGTAAGAAAAATGTTTATAATAAAAAAACACCCCGCCATTACTTTTCGGGGGGACTGTACCTCCTGCACCTCCATTACCCAGAAGATTGGATGATGATTTCAGTAAAGAAATTAAAAAGGCAACCCGGGATCTGAAAAATACGATTCACATGCTTCATAGATGTGGCCAAGTTTGAATCTGCAGACTTAAATCGAAGTATCATCAAATTCAATTCGAAATCAACAGTCTACGCTTTCACCGTTATTATTTGGATTGAATTTTGATAAGCCTCCCAGCATTTGAGACGATAGGTTTTTGTATTAACATAATCTCTACTACCCCATTCACCCTCTACATTTTGTCTTATATTTTCTTTTTTTATGATCTTTATTGCATATAGGGCAGGATACTGGAAGATAAATAAGGGAACTGCTCTAGCACTTTATTAATAACGGATTTTCGCTTTTCTTTTGGATCATCGGGTAAAATAGAGATAGGAGGTCGAGATTTATTGTCAGAGGCACTCGCAAGGTGGTTAGATGTATTTACCTGTAATATACTTACTTCAGCTTCTGGTAATTTTGAGAAAGCAGAGTTTCGAGCCTTTGTCTCATCTTGATTATTTTCTTGGGAATTTATTGCAGAGCAATGGCCCTTTGGGTCTAAAGGAATTGATTCAGTAAGTATAGTTACCTCAGTTTCGGGTAAGTCATCTGAATCGTCCTGGTCATCGGTATATTCTATGTCAGGCTTTTTAGCAAAATGATCAATAATAGTCTGAATCTGTAAATTAGTAAACCTTGAAATAGTATCCGCGCTATAGGTTTGATATGTTGAATTTTATTTATTCCAATTTTTTCGAATAAATTGTAAAATTTTAAAGCCTTTTGTGTTTGCTTACATAAATTTTTACACTTGATACCAGGAACTTGCTTGATAATAAAATCGTATACTCGACCCTTTGCTTTCTTCCCCCCAATTTTATCATTGATCATAAATTCTTTGACCATGCCTTAGCATACAAACACCAACATGATATTTCGCTTGCTTAACATATACAGTAATAACTTTTGAGGCAGTGTGCTTTAGTGAGGGGCTAAAAATTATCTGCTGATTGATCGACATCACCTGATGAGAGATACTATATTGTCCGGAGCAAAGCGAAGGACTATTACTGTCTACGCACTATGAAAAAATTTCAAATCACATGAATTTCTCTGTCCGGCACGTGATTTCGACCAATGATTGTGATTGATGATGATGACGTTATGATCACGTCCATCGGAAAAAAGTTACTTGTAAATCATGTGAATTTTTCGCTCTCCGGACTCACAACGGTTCCCGTTTCCTAGTATATATACTAGCTCCCTCAATACTCATGGATTTTTACAAACACGGAAAACTGGACTTGTGTAAACCTTGTAGAGTTTTATCGTGCCAATTCGAAACAAAAGGAGCGTAAAAAAGTACTGGACAACATAAAGAAAGATCTCGAAAAGGTGGTGAGATCGAAATCTGGTTTTGACGCAACGCGTAAAAAGAAAGCTCAAAAAATAATTAATAACTGGAAGGTATGTTCTATTATTAATAAGATAGCGATTTAAACAAGTTACGGAAAAGCTGTGACTCTTAGTCTACAGTTATGAACTCTTAGTTCTTCCGGAGTGCAAGCTATGACTCCTAGTCTATAGTGATGAACTCTTCGTTCGACACTTAAGTGAGCGCAAGCTGTGACTCTTAGTCTACAGTTATGAACTCTTCGTTCGACGCTTTCTTTGCTTGTATATTTATGTTTATTACATATTGTTTCTTGCAAGCACAGTTAATTTTGCATTCTTGTTTATTAAGGATTGGACCATGATGAGCGATGATACAAATTTCAAATTCGAGTTTAATCAGGTGAGATTCTACCTTCTAACCTGAAAACTTCTTAAGACAAAAAACTTGAGTAACATTTTTCTTCGATTAGATACAACAGCAGGTGCTCACGACTGGTAATACTGTGACTATTGATAATATTGATAATCATTGTGTAACTGGGAAACATCTCAGAGAAGATGAAATGAAAACAACAGTTGATGTAACTCCACTGAAGCAGGTGGAAAAGGTAAGGCCACTGTCCCAATATTTCTGTGAATAAAAAAAACCTATTTATATGTTCTGTGGATTAGCTTCCTTGTGAATTTGAAATTCCTCAAACAAAGAGACCAAGAAATGTTCCCCCTATGAACCTGCAACAAGAAGCAATCGTTGATGCTGAGCTGACAACTAGTGATAAATTCCAAGAAACTAATACTGAAAAAGCAGGTGAGGTAAATAGTTTGGATTATTCTGATACAATTTGGGAGGCAATCATTTTGTCAACAATCATTTCACTGACAATCATTTCACTGACAAATCTTCACAAACATTATTTCAAAGTTATCCTTTTTTGGTAGTTAATTGTCAGTGAAATGCACTGTTTATGTTGGTGAAATGATTGTCAATGAAATAATACGGACCCATACAATTTCTACATCAGACCACAGGAAGGTAAATACTAATTGTTCTTCATTGATTGTCGTGATATGGTCAGGCAAAAACATTTTATGTCTCGTTTGACAAGTACATTGGCTCAGGCGTGAACATACAAGACAAAAGTGATGATATAGCTGGGTCAAATAAAGATCTTGAGGACGAGAACGATGAAGAGATAAAATTTAATCTTGATGACATCTCAAGAGAATTACAGCATGAACCAGCAGTTAAAGTATGTCATGTGTTGGATTTTGTTTTTATATTTTGCATATCTCAGTCTTATTTTTTTTTAGTGGGAGGTCGATAATATTAACGTAACAGACAGATTTCGAACCTACCAAAAAGATATACTTAAGAAGGTGGAAGAGAAGGTTTAGATTATAAAAACATTTATGAACCTCTGTAGGTATTCTGAAATATAACATTTATAACGATTAAATCAAGATTTATTAAAAAAATTTTTCACCATTTCATTTAGAGCATTATCTTCAATCATTGTTCTCACATGGCCGAATCCATATTCTAATATATTCACAAAACGAGAGTGGGCAGAAGTTATAAAAACAAGTCCATATACTATTAAAAACTCCCCGCTTTCAAAAGAAATTTCAATGTCCCTTCATGAAGCAATTTACAACAATTTTATCAGTGAAGATGTTTATATGATTGGTGGGAAAACGAAGCTAAGTCGAGATGTAGCATGCTCCTTCAATGATTTGTAAGTATGCAAGTTTCATCATATTTTGTTTATTATCTACGAGTTTGTGGCTCATGGAAGAAGAGCATTGTTACATGTTTCTCTACCCAATTACTAGACCCTTCTTCCTCAATTCCTTAAGGGAGTACAAACTTGTTCTGAACTGTGCTACATCAGGGTCAAGAAAAAGGCCTGATCTTTCTTGTGTACAGCATACCCCTCTATAGTCATGCTGTCGGGAACAATGCAACTTTTGCTGGAAATGTGCTTATAAAGAGGTTGTGACTATATAAAGGGTTTTTTCTATAAGTTTAATGGTAATTGGTTCTCAACATGGTGTGCTTATAAAGAGGTTTTTTATATGTGTGCTTATAGAGGGGGTGACTATAGAGGGGTACGACTGTAGTTGACGATATCACCATACTCAACTCGGAAATTAAACCATTAAAATGTACTCCACTCCAGCAGAAAAAAGACACTGTGAAGACACACTTACGAGCCCGCAAATCAATTAATATGCAACTACAAAGAAAAGGTGGTCCAGCTGAAGCTGGTATATTTTTGAATATGGGTATGTGCTTACAAAGAAGCTGTTATATTTACAGTATGATACTGAATTAAGATTTGTGATAATTAGGCGAATGGATGGAGACGTTTTTCATGGATTTAAAGTATGACGGATTATACCGTTCCATAGAACAAAGCTGGTGGTCGAAAAGGCTTCAATCCCATTAGCGGAATTTGCAATTAGCCATATTATCGCTTTGGAAGTATGTGATATCTTCACTTAGAGTTTTTAATGAAATAATTGTTATAACTTTATCTTTTGCAATGTAGGAACGTATTGGGAAGCTTGCAGAAGACTACAAATATCGAGATGGTCAAAATCAAGAGGATCGAAACGATCAAATTACACCACCTACATCTTTCATACGTAAATTTCCAAATACTCCACAAGTAAAGTTGTTATTTAAGTGATAAGAGTCTTATTTAGTATGGAGGGATTAAAGCATTTTCTCCTGATAATTATTATATCTCTGTATACTTAATGCTTGGATAAGAATGCGAAAGTTTATTCTGTGACATATATTACGGAGTAATGGCACTTATAGATATCCTTTTTCAATTAATGCAGTTCGAATGTAGGGAAGCAAATCACAATCGAACGGGATACAGATGAGATCTATACCCTCTCTTTTACATATATCTCGCTTTTTTTGGTCGCGCGTCTGTTGTCTATCTTGCCTCGCTTATGGCATTGAATTCTCAGAAAAATGTTGAGGCCCCTGGAATTTTGGTGACGTAGATTTCTGCGCAGCTCCGATAGTGCAATCGGCATGTGTGGCACAGTCTAGATCTCGACAGGAATACGAAAGCGATTACTTAGTAGAAAAATGAACAAGCCAATAGTTTAGCTTAGAGATACGTTGCTAAAAGTAGATCAATTACTAGCTTCAAAAGATATAAAGGCAGTGTGGCTAGTTATAATCAAAATCTGTTTCTGGTTCTGAGGAAAATTCAGCATAATCGATTTGGGCTTTTCTTTTTCTGAGTACTCTTCTGGAAGAGGATTCACTAACGTTTCCGTTCGCAGTATTGATCGTCCCCATTAATCGGCTGATGAATATAAACGTTGTTTCGCAAACGTTCCTTCTCCCACTTTTTAGCGACTTACATTAGTTTAAAAAACTCGTTCAGAATACTTAGTATCAAAGTATTTGTCTATTGTTACTATGGTTTCTGACATCATAGAAGAATGGATTATTTTTGAAACGCGTTTCAGTTAGTATAGAACGTGATGAAGCGATGACAAAAATCTGACAACATATAAGGCAATATAAGTTACGCATTCTTACTCTGTACATGTCATATGATTATGTCTTTATATAAAAATCACAACAAGGTTCATTGATAACATACAAAGATCAGAACCCAGGTGCTAGGAATCTTATCAAGTAGATAAAGCAAGTATATAGCCATGATGTCCATCCAAGTATTATCAATAGCATACTCAAATGAAAACGAGATACTGTTAAGAATGACTCTGCAAAGAGAACCATTCAGTAACCAGAATTAGAGAATGTATTACTTTGAATAGGTCCATTGATCTATTAAATTGTCCCAAAGGTTTTTGATAGGATTAAGATTAGGACAGTCACCCCCCCTACAATCACCTCTGGACTCACTTTACTAATTGTATCACTATCTATATACACAGTGGCTCTCTTTATAGTGTACCTCCTTTATAGTGGAGACTAATTAAATCGTGATATAGTGGATAAAGGTTCAAAACCATCTATAATGAATGCTATCCGATATAGTGTATTTACTAATAAATTTTCAATAACTCTCGATATAGTGTATTTTTGAGAATTTTTTACTAGTAGATTTTTTTGATACACTATAAAGAGAGTCACTGTGTATGTGAATAACACTACGCGTTTTTTGTATAAATTTGAAAAAACGGCTATTCTATCTTATCATGATTCCTACTACAGAGGAGTAAACTATGGAAATGATATATCACTTAGTTGTAAGTAAACGTCACCTACCCTGATACTATTTAGTAATGGTATTTCTGTCTGCACATTTACTTACAGGATCCAAAGTATACATACATGTCTATTGGGATTCTTTCTTAAGATACACATGTAATGAGCACTAAAGCGTCAGTGATGTCTGAGTGTGTTTTTGGATAAGCAATCCTTCTTTCTATCACTATGCCGTGGTTGAAATATTCACACCAAGCTACATCTCGTAATAATGCTAAATTGACCGTCTGTTAAGTCTCAGTCCCTAATTAAGCTTCTCCTCATTGTACATCATCCAAGCGATTATATTCATAACATAAGCTCTTTGCTAGCTAGTTGGTGTGTTCTAAGCGTGACGGAGACCGTTCTAGTATACAATCTCCCTTCGGTAGACTTTAAAATTTGATACTGCATTAACGGTAAAGACTGTTAATAAATCACCTTCATAGTATTGTAAAGGTTATAATGCTGCAATTCATTATAATGGAAATGGAAATCGGGCAATGCTTGGATGGTAATCAAATGACGCACGAATATGGCTTCCATCTTTTTTCATAATATCTGCGTATAATCGACTAAGAAATTTATTAATATTCAAATTGACAAAATTTTATAATAGAATGACTCGTTGATAATCATTAACACCACCACTGCTCCCTTTTACTCGTCTCTTGTCATTAATCGTCCTCTATCACTTTTATGTTCCTTCCTCCTTTTACTCTTCATCCTCAATCTTAGGCGCAAGATAATATCTAACGAGCGCACATTCTTCCATATTATACTCAACCAATAATGGTGTATTCGTTGCCATACATAGCGTTACTTTGTCCGATAACGGTGCGGCCTTTGTGAAATTCGAGAGATATTTCAACGAAAAGGTCAAGTCGACTGGGGAAGTGAGTTTTATTGAGACTGATTCAGAACCCTAACGTTGTGTTATAAGAAAATAATATCAAGTTAATGGGCAAGTCAAGATAGAAAAGCATTTAAACGTGCTAACAATGATGATATGACAATAGTAAAGACAGAACACCATTACACTATCAAGAAAAGACATGTATATTGTTGTCGCGCAGGAATGAAATAATTTTCAAGCCTATACCTTATCAACTGAACTACTTGGCCGAAGAGTAATATTCCCCGTGCCAACTTCTCCTTTTGCTTGGAACCTGACGCCTTCTTTTGTTACTGAAATGCTGACTGGTGGAATGTAATTGCAGAAAAGATAAAGGGAAAACAAAGGTGTCAGGAAAGGTTGAACGCTGAAGTCAAGTATGTCACGTTGGGAATGAATTACTCAGAGACAAGCAATATTGTCAATAGATACTTAAAGCATCCCAAATCAAGCGCCTCGGTTTTTCATCCATTGATCCATCGTATCCCCCCATTCCTTACTACGATCGTTCAAAAGTCAAACTCACCTGATTCGCTAATCCCAGACAAGTCACGACAAATCCGCTGGAATTCGCCCGATGACAAAACGACAATGGCGTCATATTCTGTTTCAGGAATTCCAAGGTGTTCTTGATCAATGTCCATTAATTTTAATTCATATTCGCCGAATCGATCGTTATCTTGAAGATAATGAGAAAACGGATGACAACGGTGAGTAAATTGAATAATTGAGCCGATGAAACGACAGGCGTCGCGTAAAGATACGTATACAGAACGTTCTCTCACGCATAGCTACTCTAAAACGACTTACTTTGGCTCTCGAATAACAAATTCAATGTATCCCCAGTGTCATCTACTTTTAGCGTGATTGTATCTTCGTTTCCCGCGCATTTTAATATTTTATTCAAACTTCCTAAATTCACTCCTAATGGGATGTTTCTATCGCAGGTATACGGGTCGAAGCCATCGGCTTTGAGGAGTACGGAAACCAAAGCCACATGAGAATTATCCATGGCTTGAAGTGAGATACCCGTTTCGGAACAGTCAAAGTTAGCATCTGTTACTAGTTCTTTGACAGCCTCGAGAACCTTTTTGAGGACGGAGCCTTGACTTAGACGCGCTTCGAACATCGTGACGAGAAACAAGTGGAAGAGTGGGGTATGGAATGTACGTGTTAGGAGAAATGAACGCGTAGATTTATATGAATTCTCATCTCATTCTCATTGGACAATGATTGAATGTCAGACGTTGCACCGAAAAATACGGTTAAATTTTCGGGTAGGTAAAAGGGGGGCATTTCGATGCTGAATGTGGTACAGTGAACTCTCCCTAAGTATAAGGCACGTTGTCGGGACCATAGTGAAAAAAGTGCATTTAGAGAGAGTGCGCATTTACAGAGAGCAAAATATGTAATGTTCTTATAAGCTGGGACTGAACCATACCATGAATTTATGGAGAGTTTATATATGGGTGTGCATTTAGGGAGGGTGCACTTAGGGAGTTCACTGTACATGGCTCAAATAAAGATTCGCTTCTGCATTAAAAAATTTCCTTGTACGTTTGTCTAATGCAAGCCAATCCGCAAGTATGTTCTTGAACTCAGATAATTACGGTCAATTCAAGGAATGTGTCTCTGCCAGGCAAACTGTAAATGAGTAAATGCCACTTTTACTATCAGTGTCTATGTCTATACACTTTTAACGACTAAAATCTTCTTACATACAGTCCATATTAACAAATCGTTACAAGACGTAAAACATACTCATTCTAACAACTTCTTCTCCATAATATCGTCAAAGTTTTTTTCTCTCGATGTGGTCTGTCTTTATAATGGTTTGTGACATTATAATAAGAGAAAGCATTACATGATTATGAACCGTTATGTGACATCGGCAAGTCGCAAAATCGCAAGAGACTTTCAAAGCTTTCCAGTAAGGTTGGACCAGACGGTGAGTTCATATCCAGAGTACAACAAAGTATAACGATCGCTGCTTTTCATGTCTAAGTAACATCTGCAGTATTCACGTCTGCATCAATCAAGTCAGAACCGAAAAATCTATCGAACAAGCTAAATATGAAATAAGATATGATAGGTCGAATTGGATCACAAATTTTCGTTTAACAAATGGGATTCAGCTACTTGGTGAGGAAAAGCAATTGCTGTTCCCACGATAACCAAACTTTACCTCCAAAGAATGAGGAAAACCACTGATGCAAATTAAACGATGTTTTGGAAAAGAAAACGTAGGCAAGGAAGATAATGTAAAGCCGATAAATAGGTCACTAATGCTAGCGCGCCAATAGCTATGACGTTGTTTATGATTGTAGACAATCTAAGCATTGACACTGATCTCGTGCGTAGTACTAAATCGGGTTAACACAAATATGCAGTTAAATCTGTCTGTACGCCGAAAACGGAATAAAATGTCTAACTTACTGGTCCGAATCATGTTACCAATAACCGCATTAAAAATTACTATGCCGTATTAGATCAAAAAATCGTACTTCCCTTCCATTCTCCAATGAGATTAATACAAGATAATCAAGAAAATTGTGTATATTAATATAGACGATGCATACTTCTCTGTCAAAATTTCAGCTCCAAATCGGCTTCTTTAAAATTAATCCATTACTGTATATTACCATTGTATGTTAAAACGCTATACTCATTAATTAATTCGTCATGTTACCAAGCAAACCTTTACCACCTCCAGTTCCAAATCCTCGCTTCACAGCTCCAGCGAGCTTTTACGGAATGAATGTATACTACAAGTTCTATATCCAACTTATTTGCGTTTTCGTGCTGGTTGTGCTCGCGAGTCTGAGAGTTGACGGACAGAGTACCAATTCGGCTGAATGTGTTACGAACTTTGATCCAAATACAGATTACTTTCCCGTGAAGGCTACTGGTTAGTAAATAAGGATATCGCGGAGAGAGAAAGAGAGAGAGAGAGAGGCTCAATTTGAGATGGAAATGATGTGATGTCTATCAGTGATGATACTGTATTAATTGAAAAGTATTCGTATCGTAATTTCATCAACATGGTCCCTGTACTTATATATCGCCCTTCTGATTTCATCTGCTCCAGTCGAAACGGCCACCTTGTTCTCAATCCAATACTTCAAATTCTATAAACTTGTCACGAACAAATTTACCAACGAAACTTTTGCGCTGTATCAATGCGGTACCCAGGTACCGCCTGCGACGGCCATTCCGGCTGGAACGAAAGTTTTTGAAGTGCCGGTGAAGAAGATGGCGGTCCTGGGTACTAGCAGCGTGGCATACCTCGATGTAAGTCAACGAACCAGAATTGTGTGAACGTGAGCGAAGAGGAATTGGAAGGAAATGAAAAGACTGTTTAAGATAGATTTTAGAGACAGTTTGGTGCACAATAGGGAGGGTTGATGGAGCTGTTGACGGTTGTTTTATTTCCATGATATTTCGTTTGTCACGAAAAATCTAACGCATGTCTCAAACACATCCATTTTTTCGATCCTAATCCTGAATTGCTTTTCCTTCCAAACTCTTTCTCAAATTCTCTCAGATGCTCGGTTTGAGGTCAAAAATATCGATAATCGATTCAAGCGACTTCATTTCTTCTCCATGTGTGCAACTTCTGCGGGACAATGGCAGCATTACCGCCCTCTCTCCAGTTGCAGCGAACGCTGCCACCCAACTTAGCACGGTTTCTCTTGTCATCGGAGCGTCCACTGCGGATACTACTAAGCAAACTTCCGTAAGCACCTCGGCCGAGCAAGACCCCGGCTCTTTGAACCGCGCTGAATGGATTAACTTCTACTCTACGTTCTTCAACGTTGAAGACCGTGCGATTGGAATTTTTAAGGGAATCGTTTCAAACTATGCCTGTTTTAGGCAGTTGGCTGTAGTAGATACAACCAAACCAGTTCTCGCATGGGTTGTTTATGATGCACCAAGTGATTTTAACAATAACACAGCATCATGGTCTATTGCAGATGCGCAATATAAAAAACAATTAACAGAAGCTGCCGGAGCTGTCTACTTCAACACTTCCCAACTCAAGTACACTACCTCATCAGATTTTCTTACCGCAATCGCTTCTGTGGACATCATCATTGACGAAACATTTATTGCGAGTGACATCTCGGATGTTTATCGCAATTACGGACTTACGCCTGACGCGCCCTACAAGTTTGTCAAAAATAAAAAAATCTTCAGAGAAGATGGGATCACTAGCCCGACCGATGGAAGAGATTGGTTCGAACGAGCAGTGCCAATGCAGGACGCTGTATTGGAGGATTTGATAAATGTGGTCAATGAGAAGTTGCCCAAAAGTGGGTATCAAAGAAAATGGTTTAGGAATGTCGCCTTAGGGGAAACGAAGACGATTTCTGCTTCAGCGAATTGTACTGATCCAAATGCAGCTACAACGGTATGTAATTTAAACTACGGAGGTAGATGTTGTCGACCTCGGCTTCGTACACTAACCGAACAAAAAGCATCAACTCGGCTGAAAAAAAAATATTTTGAAAACCAAATAGTCGAGTATTTATCCGCCGTTATACTTACTACGTAAATAACCGTGATAATATCCGAATTATTGCGGCGGATAAATACTCGATTATAAAAAACAAAGCTACAGTGACGGTATAATAAGTTCATCTCTGTGAAGCAACAGCCATCACTTCGTTATACAGTAACTTTATAATAATAAGCGGCGGCAATAGATAAAAGTTTCTTCTTGTTGGAAATGGTAGATTTCCCGCTTTATATTTCGCCTCAAAAACTAATCACGTTTCTTGTTCTTCCTCTCTCGAATCAACTGCAGGACGTTGCATCCAACTGTTCTGCAATAGCTAACACGGCCACAGGAAATGGGTCGAATGGTGGTGGTGGTGGTAGTGGTGGTAATTCCAGTGGTGCCAGCTTGCTCCAGCCATGCGTGACACTTGTGATTTTTGCTAGTTTCGTAAGAGCTTTTGCGCTTATTTAAGATATCAAAGTACAATACGGAGAAAGTTTATTTATTATGAAGAGAGGATGACCGAAACATTATTTAAGTAAATTATTGTGTTATGGCAATTTCTGCCAGCAATATATTAAGTAGTATTTTCCATGTTATTCGTGTACGTATGGGAAGACCTTTAAATATGCACGTCCAAAAGAGAGAAAAGCTTCATTAACTCGTATCGTCTTCCTTGGGCATCAATTTCTGTTATTAACTATGAACTTTAATCTTACCTGGAAACTGTCATAGAGCAGTGTCCCGTTTTCATCATAATGAAATTGATTATAGCATGTCTCACAGAAGTAGGCTGGACATTCACCGGACAGGTAGTCATTCAACGTAGTGAATCTATTAAACGAGTTAGGCAAGGAATGCAAAAGAGTGAGAAAGGATGATGAAGCAAATAAGATCAAACACGCTTCATACTTACTGAGCCGGTCGTTGGAGACACATTTTGCATTTACTCCTCGAAATCTTACATCGAAAGACAGCCTTGGGATATGCATTATAATCTTGCTCGTCCCCATCATGTAATAATCTGTGATTACGTTTAAAGAGAATCGAATGTTATTGACGGAAAGAGTTTTTGCATCACTATCGTCTCTAAACTCACCGCAAATCCCTAAATATCAAAGCATGCTGACAATCGCCCCGATGACAGAACAGATATGGTTGGTTCAGTCTTATTGTCAATTCTTCAAATTTGGTTTCGTGCATTGTGTTACTCCGGTATGGGCCCAGTTTTGCTTTGGTTTCTTCGCTCTGATGGCTCAGCCAGTCTATTATTGTTCTTGAGGGGAGTCGAGTATATTTGAAAGAATGGTTAGGAATGGGTGGACCAAATGCCAGCATTTCTATGTGTGCTAATGCAAATAAATAAAGCATACTTGCTATAATCTTGAACGCCCTCATCTCGAAGGTCATTGTAAAACGTATTTTCGATTAAGAAATAGCTGGAAGCGGATTTCTCAGTTTCAGCCGAATAAAAATCTTTTAAACAATAAAAAGCATCTTTGAGAGCAGTTAACGGTTGACTACCGAGTACGAGGAATTCTTGCATGCGCGAAGCTGGATTATGATGATCGTAGAATGCGACAGAGAGTACTACTTCAGGTTTCGTTATCGGCAAGGTTTGATGTGTTGATATGCGAGCCTAATGACGAATATTTGAGATTGACAAGAGTGATGGAATTGAGGCGAGTATGCGAAAAGAGCCAAATATGCATGCAAACGTCAAGAGGAATAACATACATGTGATGGGAGAAGAAAAACTCGTCAATAAAGACGTAGAGATAAACTGCAATGCATCAAGTTCTTATTCCCAAAAAGTCTTACCTTCTCAGTTGACACAAAATTCAAATCTGGTCGCTTTTTTTCAAGTTTTACTCTATTTTCTTCCCTGTAAACAAAATCCATATTAACATTGTTATAACTTTCACGATGATCTATTCGCACAGACCTTTCCTCATTACTCACTTCAAACTAGCCAATATACTGTTATCCAACATCCCAGCCATTTCCCAGAATTGCAACTCTAGGCTAGTGGGTTTGGGTCGTGTAGGACCAGATGTGACTACGAGGTTATGCAGCAAGAAGTTAGTCGCACAAGAGATTTGTAATTTTACAGTCTATGTTGTTATAGGATGCATGTCAACGTATTCGCACTTGTGGTTATAGCCCCATTCGTACTATTATTCACAGTCATTCCCCTCTGATCCTCCGCAACCCGATTTCCAACATGTGTAGACGTCGAAACCGTCCCTTCTTCACTGAAATTCGTATTGTTGTCGGCGGTTGAACTTAACGGAGGCAAGACAAGTGAACCGATTGAAGTGGGTAAAGTGGAAGAATTCGTGTGGGAGGTCGCACGGGATTGTCCCAATGTGGTTGGTGAGAAAGTAGCAGTATTGGTATTATTAGTGGTGGCAGCCGTTGGGATACAGATGGAAGTAGATACAATATCGCTTTCACTTGTAGACAAGCTCCCCAAATTGTTTTCGACCCTTATGACAGCAGCAACGGCAGGCGGGACTCGTTTAAGTTTTTTCTCCTTTCGCCTCTCGTTTCCTTCCTTCTCACCCCCTCCACCTCGTGACCGTTTTCGAAGACCGCCTATCGGAGAAGGCAAGGTTGTATTGTTGGCCATTTGATCTGTCGTATTTATCGGACGTACGAGATAATAAAGATCATGACAATATAGACTGAGTGAATAAATCTACGGGTGTGGTATTGGGAAACAGATGTAGGAGACATACGCTCGCGTATAATACCTTCAGACTGTCCAGATTGTCCAATATCGTCGTCGTGTAATGAATGATGTTCACGTAGGAGATAAAACAATGTTGCATCGGCAAAGAAACTAGTTGAGGTTTTCAAATGTTCCTGGACCCTGGTTTCGAGTGATCAGTAAAGTGAATGAGATATATGAATCAGACAGAAATAAAAAGAAAACGCGATCATTTGCAAACAAAGAAACTAGGCACAAGAGTGTTGAAAAACTATGTAAGGGGATATAGACTCAAAAATGAGAAAGGAAAAACTCGGTAATCAGTTCACTCTCCTGAAACCATCAAAAAACCAAGTCCACCGAGATCACATATTTGATTAATATATAACCAAAGATTACTAAAAGCTAACACGTACGAGCATCGATCTTCCTGATTTCCACTTACAATTGTATTCCCCACACTAGCTTCTCTTCTCTCTCTCAAATCATCTCCATCTCTTCCTATTCCCCTACCGTTATTCATTCCCATGCTCTCTTCTTCCACGCTGATCTCGGTCTCTGCTTCTAATGTTCTCATACAATTTTCCAAGAATTCACTAACGCTTATCAACTTTGTCGGCTCTCCAACAAATATGTGCCATGTTTTATCCTTTTCTTCCCCTTTGTTTTCTTTTTTAGGCACATTGTTCGCCAGGCGGGAGTAGAGCGCGCGAGTTAGAGAAGTAAGAGATGGATCAGTTGGCGAAGGAAGGGAACCAAGATAGGAAGAAGGTGAGGGCGAACGGGGAGATTTAGGAACATGATCTGAAGAGTAAAAATCCGAGTGAGGATTTGGAGGCGTAGAACTCTCCCTGGAAGAAAGTGCCGGTGATGCGTCTGGGGAGATCGTTGTTGAATTCATTGGTGAATATTGCCGGTCCTCTTGTAAGATATAAAGCACTAGCGCTACATTTTAATTTTGACATTTGGTGCAACATAAACAAAAAGCCCAATATCCAGTAATGCTTGTATCGTTAAGTAGAAAACTTTGTTTTGATTAGATTTGCAAAGGTATAGTTCAGAAAGTACTAACAAAGCAACACTGACAACAGAGTCTACATGTCTATTTGCTTAAGAACAAGACATTTTACAGAGCAATCGTCTTTTGCGTGTACTTTGGATGTATACTTAATGATAACATATTTGCAAATTACATATTAATATTAGCGTACAGTTTGAATAACTAAATAAAGAATTAGGTTCAAAAAAACTTGATTTAAGTTTCTAGGTAATAGAGCAGCCACAAGTAAATAGGCTTTGCGTTCTTCCCATATTATCGTGTCAAAAACTACCATTGCCAGTATTATGAATATCTAAAGTAATGAAGCAATTAGCTGTTATATTGCCTTATAGTTTCGGGTTAATTTGAAAGCTATTGCCAATGGACAAGTGGGGAATAACGCGCAAAGGCGTATTAAATCCTTTAACCTTAAAAATCATTGAGATTTACAAATGTTCGCAGTATGGGGTAAATTCCAAGTACAAAGCCACGAATAAATAACGTGACCGGGCACATTTCTAAGCCCAGTTACATACCATAATAATAGTCTGGGTCCCTAACAACACTCTCCTATCCTCAGCATTCTCCTCCAAAGTCTTCTAAAATGGACCAACTGACTAGCCTCACAGTGTGGGATGTGAAAGATGTCTTCAATAAAGTGTAAGTTGGGCCGACGATTTTCACGGTTTGCCGGCAGATGAGTATGTGATTTCATTCACTTCATGGTTATTTTAATAAACAGTAAAAATGCAGTGATGAATTATACCGAGATGGAGGCTAAAGTGCGCGAGGCTACGAATAACGAACCTTGGGGTGCCAGCAGTACCTTAATGTTGGAGATTGCCCAGGCAACTTACAACTAGTAAGTTTTAGTTGCTTGTCGTTGACTTGTGGTAGACGAGAGCAATGGTGTCGAAACGTAATGCTTTGATTTGATTTTGTAGTCAGTATTTCAACGAAGTTATGCCTACTATTTATAAGCGATTCACAGAGAAAGAAGCTCGACAATGGCGCCAAATCTACAAGGTAATGAAAACAGATGAATAAAAACACAATAAATAAAACGACCGGTAGTATATATACGAAACCTTCCTTAACTCTATACTTTATCTGTAGGCACTGGTGTTACTGGAATTTCTCGTCAAAAATGGATCAGAACGTGTTGTTGATGACGCTCGCGCTCATATGGCGACTATTAAGATTATGCGTGATTTCACATACATCGATGAAAAAGGCAAAGATCAAGGAATTAATGGTACGATTTTTTATTACAATAAATAGAAATTTTATCTTTCAGACCAATGGACAGCAGTTTTTGTAATTGCGTGCGCGTAATGTATTTATTAATTTCGTATTCCTCACTATTATGATTAATCACAAATAGTACGCAACCGGGCAAAAGAACTCGCCGAGCTCCTTTCTGAAGTCGACAGAATTCGTGCAGAACGGAAAAAGGCCCGTGCGAACAGGCAGAAATACACTAGTGTCAGTTCTGATTCGCTTGGATATACCGGTGGATTTGGCGGCTCTTCATCGCGATATGGCGGATATGGGAACGATTCGTATTCGTCGTATAGTGAGTATATTGTAGAACTGAGTTGGAGTTTTGTGAATAATGAGAGAAAGGGAGAATGTACATGTCATTAGACTAAATGACTGTCTAAACTAGTACTTCTCTTGTCTGGTCTATGTGGACGTTTCTTACCAATAACATCTAATCTTTTTATCAAACCCAGACGATGACCGATCTATGTCCTCTTCTCGCTCACGTTATGATGATTACGATTCACCTTCAAATCCCAGTCGCTCCTCATCTGGAAGTGACCGTCGGTCGTCTCGTATAACCTCTATGCACTCGCGTTCGAGCTCACTCGCTGAAGTGGCCGATAACGATACTCTTGCTACAACTTCGAGCAAGAAGGTGGAACCGGTATTGGTTAGCTTTGGGGACAAGGATTCAGTTGAAGTTAAAGGAACGAAGAGCACAACTGGACATAAACCGAATGTGTCAATTGGTATGTGGTTATTTCTTAGATTAGGACACATTTGAGCGAAGAGAAACTTGTTTTGGATCAAGAATTTGTGTTACACATGATTGTTAATCAAGTCTAACCGAAAGCAAACCTACACTTATGTATTTTATTTTAGACGACGACTTTGATGACTTCCAATCTGCTACCACAATTCCATCTACTACATCCACACGAAAGTCTGTTCTTTCTCCATCTCTCGTTTCCACAAATACGACAACAACGGTTACACCCGCAAAAGACCTCATTGATGACATCCTCAGTGGCCCGATAATTCCTTCGGGCGGTTCGAATAACACGCGTGTGGGCATTGGTATCGCAAATAATAATTTTACCAATAATCCTAGCAGTAACATTACTCCCTTAAATGGCGCTTTCGGAACAAAACCCCTAATTCCAGTAAATACTAGTACGCCTCCTCATGTCGCAAATAATTTCAACTCTATCAAAGTCAGTGGAACGCAAGCCAATTCCTCTTCATCTTTCCAAAAACTAAAATCAGACGATATCTGGGTCCAAGCATCAAACCTAGTCAGTCTTGACTCGCTATCTCTGAAAGACACTCCAACGACGAATAAATCTACTGCTCCATCCATGAACTCGCTCGCGATGGCTAATGCGAATAACATTTCACTCAGTGGAACTTGGGGGACAGGAAGAGGAAGTGGGTTGGGGAGTGGATCGACAATGCAAATGGATAGTGGAGCCAAGGGAAAGTCACAGAGTTCTGCAGATCCTTTTGATTTGTTATAAAATCACTTGGAATAGTACAAGATGCAATAATTTAGATTGTGAAGTGATGACTTCCTTACCAATATATTGTCGTAACTTATTTTGGGGGAATCTAAAAAGGTACCTTTGGAATACAAAAAAGGATCATCATTATTGAAAACTTACTAGATTATTTTTGAAAATTAGATAAAATTATCATAAAGTCTGTTAAGAACGTTAGCCGTTAGGTGTTCGTCAGAATAATTTGTTTCGTTATTCTTAACAAAAAAAAAAGATAAACATTAACACTTGTTTGGAATATTATGTTGTAGAAATAATAAGAGTAATTGTATCGATGCTACATGCAATCGTCCAAGACTTTGATTATCCAAAAAATATTAAACCAAATGTTGCTCTTCTCAATTTCTGCTTAGGCTATAATAAAGATATTTGTAATTTTTGATATTCCCGGATCTGATAGCACTCTTAACCTACATCGACCATTATTATCCTCTTGAATTTCCTTTTAGAATTATTATGGAGTTGAGGTTAGAAAGATGTCCAAAAGCGCGGGAGCGAAGTATGCCAATCAACACCTAGAGATGCCAATATAAAGGGCTTATGCCCATATTCTGACTTGGGTCAGAACACTATAAAAGAAATTGCTTAAGCTCATTTCGGACATCAGATATCTGATTAGGCATGTTAATGCACGCCATCGTGTTGCCACCATAAATTGCCTCCGCGCAGGCACGGGCAGACCCATCTTTCAGAACGCAGGATGGGGCTCATCAATCTTCCCGCAATATTGGTACTGCAAAAAAGCAAGCTTTAGGTTTATCTTTGCAGAGAGTGAGTACGGAGACTAATACTACTGACCTAATTTATTAAATCGATGTTACCATACCTTCCCAAAACGAGCAAGGTAAGGAATTTCCGCACAATGAATTGGCCATTAAAGGCGCTTCAGGCTCGGAAGATCTCTCGTTTGTAGGAATTGGATGTAGTAGTTGAAGAATTACTACAATTTTGAGAAGTTAGTAGTTAACCTGTATTTGCCGTAATAGAAAACCCTAGTATTAGTGTTACCAGAATGATTGCTATTGTCCAATCATCAACAGAGGGATACGGAAAATAACCTCCGTTGGCGAGGTAAATCTACATATAAAGACTGAAGAAGTAGAACAGAAACATCCAAGGTTCGCCGAAAACGTCCTCTGCATTCCAATCACTTCTTGACAATGAATCTACATCCACGAATTATCTTTTTTTTGATTGCCTTTACTATTATAATATCATGCATTTCTTGTGTTGCAAGGTAAATTGTAAACGCATATGTTAAAATGATGGTACTGTAGTATTAATATTAATTGCTAATTATCGCTTTATAATTTTACTTATTATAGCACAGATGTATCAGTGCCTCAAAACAACTCTTCAGTGACAAGCATTTCCTCCCAAACGAATGCAACTAAACTCGAATACGAATCCTCCTCTACGGATGATACAAAGAGCAAAGTTTGGCATTGGCTCAAGTATGTGTTGATATCAATCGGTATAGCGGTCGGTTTGACGATACTTGTAATGGTTATTGGCTTGCTCGCTGCTTGTGTGCAGTCATGCCGCACTTCACGTAGAAATGCAAGGGTTGGTTCATAATATGGCTTGTCGTAGAATAAGTGCCCAACTATCGACAATACTATTAATACACAGAATTATTAATATTAAGATGTATCGTTAATATTAATTCAGTACTTTTTATAATATTACAATAAATGTAGCTAGACTAAAATGAAATCGGGTTAATTGAAATTTTTTCTATTTTAATATGAAAATTTAGGGGGGCGAATTTGAGATAGGGTTTTGTTAACGTTAATTTGTGAGGCTTTAAAATAAGACCCCCATCTTAATGTACCACAATAAATATGTAGAGACACGTAAACACTGATAGTCTAAAGAACAAACGCACAAACAAACGCAATTACTTAATATCGATAATCTTGTCCTAATGTATTGGATTGTTTAAGCAAATTTACGTCACAAATGAGATAAGGGAATGTACCAATAATCGACTTGTATTCGGCGTGTATACCCAGTCCCATGACCTTACCCTTCCATAAGAAATCTCTTTTCGATTATTGTAATGACAAAAGGGGAAACTTTTTTTTCACTGAACTGAAGACCATATACGAGCTAGTTAAGACCAGACAAATAGATTGGCTACTTATTTTTATCTTGCTTCTTTGTTATGTATGGCGCTTCCTAAAAACGGGATGTACACGGCAAGTTAATTCCCATTGGTTAAGTTACACATGATTGTATTTAAAAGGGAACGTGAAAACGTCCTTTAACAAAAAACGGATATTGTCTCAAGATGCCAAAAGATAAAACCAAAACAAGCGTCAGTACAAACAGCAGCACAACCCTTACGGCTGTCTCGCTCCCTTCGTCACTTGAGTCTGAGTTAGCAAAACTAGATTTTGACGGACGATTGAATAGATATGTTAAGGAATTAGGCGAATCTTATTCTTCTGACACGGTGTCGAGCACCAAAGCAATGACGCTACGAAAAAATGCCATAGACGCCGCACTAGCTAATATCAAACAATCGATGATGATCGACCTTTGTTTCGTTT